TTTGAATTCCATTTTTTTTTTTAAAGGGAAGGAAAAGGAGGGAAACCAGCCAGCCAGCCAGACTCTCTGGTTTTCTCTAAGAATTCACCCAAACTTCCCCTCTAGGCATACGAGCTTCATAGGCCCCTCCAGCTGTATGGGAGCTACAGCTGTGGAATGAGGAGGAAAGCCAGGGCCTCTGGCTCCGAAAGGCTACTCAGTTTACCTTAAGGTGGGCTAACTGTTTCCAATACCCCTGGCTCCCCTCAGGAGCAAGTGTGATTCACTGCTTTTTCCCTTATCTCTAGCACAGTGCTCAGAACACTGGAGACACCAACATTTCCTGGATTAACAAATGAACTTGAGGGCGCCTGGGTGGCTCAGTTGGTTAAGCGACTGCCTTCGGCTCGGGTCATGATCCTGGAGTCCCTGGATCGAGTCCCGCATCGGGCTCCCCGCTCAGCGGGGAGTCTGCTTCTCCCTCTGACCCTCCCCCCTCTCATGTGCTCTCTCTCTCTCATTCTCTCTGTCTCAAATAAATAAATAAAATCTTTAAAAAAAAACCAAAAACAAATGAACTTGACAAAGCAATACCATTAGAACCTGGACCTAGGGCTTCTACCCCCGGTTTGCCCTTTCCTCCCCACCAGTCACCCTGTAAAGACTTAACTGACTCCTGGAGGTTAGGGTAGGACGGATAAGGAATGCGTGGGCAGGAGCAATGCTCTGTGAGCCCAACAACAGGCTGGGCTGAGACTAAACCGCCCTTCCTGGCTGCACTTTGAGTGACGTCAGTGGCTGGAATGGCCCTCAGGATGGCAGAAGGTGGGATCAGCAGTGTGGGACAGGAGAGCTTTCACTCCACGGCTCCCTCCTGCCCTCTCTGCAGAATTTCCAGTTCTACCTGCTCCGCTCCTCCCGCTCCCCACCCATCTCCCCAGTACAAGGGAAGGTTGTGCCCCGCCCACCCAGGGCTCACTCCAAGGGCCTGGCATCAAGCCTCCTGTCAGCCAGCTGCTTCCTCCTGTCCTACCCCCAACATTGCAAAACTAATGCCACAGCCGGACTTTAGACAGAAACCCTGCTTATCAGGGAGTCCCAGACAGATGAACTCTGAGTTTTCAATGCCTGGAAAAGCTCAGTATGCATCCACTCACGTGGCTTCCCACAACCCACTCCCCACAACACTGCACCCTCTTTCACAATTACATCTGACAAGTGGTCATCCAGATCTTTCCTGAACCTCTGAAAAGGAAGCAAGTCTGAGTTTAGAGGTCCCCAAGGTCTCTCTCCTCAATACTAACATGTGAAAAATAAGCTCCATTATTTCCCACTCAATCATGCAAAATGGGTATAGTTTTTCAATCTATCTTTGAGCGAAGGTGTCAGCCCTTTCAGTGTCCACAGAATAGGTGGCCTTTGATCCGGTGACTTGGGGGAGGGGGGTGGGGGGTGGACAGTGGTGGGATCTTGAAGACCAAGACCATTGGGCGCCTGGGTGGCTCGGTTGGTTAAGCGACTGCCTTCAGCTCAGGTCATGATCCTGGAGTCCCGGGATCGAGTCCCGCATCGGGCTCCCGGCTCATCAGGAAGCCTGCTTCTCCCTCTGACCCTCTCCCCTCTCAAGCTGTTTCTCTCTCTCTCTCTCTCTCTCTCTCTCTCTCTCTCTCTTAAATAAATAAATAAAATCTTTAAAAAAAAAAAAAAAGACCAAGACCACAACACCCATAATGCCAATATGAAAAGATCTCCGGGGTATCCAAAGTGAAAAAAAGAACATGACTGATGGAGTACATGTCTGTGGTGTATATCAACGTATTAACCTGTTCTAAGTATAAATAAAACTTTATTTTTTTTAATTACAAGAGCTCTACCCCAAACCAAAACTAGCCTGGAGACCCCAGGCATGCCTAGGTCACAAAGAAACTAGAAACATCGTAAAGGCAAAGTGTCCTGGAGCCAGGAGGTACAGATGGAGGGGGGCACTGGAATCCCACTACCGGGCATTTCCCAGTTCCTAGTTCCACCTGGCTGCCTGGCAGTTGTCAGCCGCTAGGTTTCAGGGCTAGGTTTCAAGTTTCGAGGGAACAATTCTTTCCTGGGAGTAAATTCAACCGGTGGTAGAGCGAGGGGAAAGGAGAATTGACTCACCAATGTGCAGTTTGAGGTAAAGCGAGCAAAGCCGAACAGCAAAGGTGGAAGGGCTTGAGTCAGAAACATCGGAAGAGAAGACAAGCACTCAGACTGACCCACACACGGGGCAGCAGCTCCTGTCTTCTGGAGTATCAGGTGGGGATCCCCCACTCAAGTGGGATGGGAGAAAAGAACCAGGGTTCCAACCCAGGCCCCCCTTTCTTCCCCGTGGTTACACCAAAAGTCCTCCTATTCACACAAGACGCTGCTATAAGCAGAAATGCCTCTCCCTGCCTGGGAGATTGCTGGAAACCTTTCTAAGTGCAGGCTCCCCAGGAAGAGGGAGACCGTGCTTTTGGTCACTGGTTGTGCTTTTCCCAAGCCCAGTTCCCTCAGTGTTTGGGCCGCAATCCCTGCCCCAGCAGCTCAGGCTTTCCTCTCCACAAGGCTTCCCAGGGCTGGCGTTGGGCCTCTGCTTAAACTTGACCATATCCTGCCCTTTGTTCAGAGCCCACAAGGAGCAACAGCCGTGGTGGGAGAAGAGACAACACAAGGGCACCCACATATGCTCCAGACACCCCAGGGCCAGAGGACAGACCAGACACCCAAGAAAAAGCCCTTACCTTTTTACCTTTGCCATCTGGGATCTAGGAGGAGGAAACCTTGCTTCCTTTGACCAACTCTCCTGGGGCAGCATTCTTTCCTCCTCACCAAATCCAAAGGGGTTAACAGCTGCCCAATGATAGTCATCCCTTCATGTACATGTAATGTAGTTATTATCCTGGTCAACCCGCAGGATAAGCATTATTACTCCTGTCCACAGATGGAAAGACTGGGCACTAGCCTAAGATCACAAATAAGGCAGAGAGCCAAACTAGAAACCAGGTGAGATCATCTGATTCCTATTTCCATCCTCATTTTACTAATTAAATTCCTCCCCCCAGGTCTAGCCGGATTTAAATGTGATATGGTCAGTTCCCCCATCCCCTGGGCATGTCACTTCCCAGCACCCACTGTCCTGTCAAGCTAATGCAACCTCACCTCAGGCTCCATGTGAATCCCTGAACAGACTAGAGGACACCCCCAAGCTCAGAATGGGGCTATCCCAACTCTTTCAGTGCCAGTATGGGCTACTGGGGGATGTCACAATGTAGAAAATGAGAGAAGAAGAAAGAGGAGAAGGAAGAAGGATGCCAGCTTCAGGAAGCTTGTAAGCCCGACACACATGGTCACAGATAGCATCACTGATGAGAAACTTCGGGGGGGGGGGGGCGGTGGGAAAGCACTGTTCAGCACGAGGTTCTGCACCAGTAGGAGCACCACAAAGAACCAAAGGAGGACCATGAGTGTCATGAGCAGTTCTAAAACACAGGCAGAAGTAAGAAAGGTGGAGAATAGGAGAAACATGGAAACTGAATCAAAGAGGAAAGTGGAGGCATAGAATGAAAGGGACAAGTTAGAGAAGGTAAGAGAGTGGACCCGGGGGCGTTATGCCAAACTGATGTTTGAAATCATGGTTCCTGTGCCACGGGGTGCTTGAGATGCTGGACCCAGCAGTGGAAAAAGGAGAAGGGGCTCAGGAAACTTTGGTTCCATTCCCAGGTCCTTTTGTCAATCTGGAAAAGTCATTTCCCCTCTTTGGACCTGTTTCCGTATCTGTACAATAGGGATAGGGTTAGACTTGCCTCTGGTCCAGTTTACCCCAAGGGCTTATGTTTTTGTGATAAGGGACAAAGGAGCTGTCAATCCACCCGTCTAAGGGCAGGGAATCCATTTCCACCCTTCAAAACAGCAAAATGAACTGCCTTATAACCACCGATGCTGACTGTAACTGTTCATTTCTTTTACACTTCCTAAAGCATGGACCTCGAGGGAAAAACAAAAGATTCCTACAGATCACGTACTGACACAAGAATCCACAGAAGCACACTTACAGGCACTCACGAACCTGACAGATATACGTCCAGCTGGGGACACAGGGTGCCTAACTGGGTGACCCAAACGATACACTCTGTCCGCCCAAACCTATCTATAGACAGAGGCATGGCCCAGCAAGTGAGCCTCATTGTTCCACAGGAAAGGGAGTTTACAAAGGAAACAAAAACTCCCAGAAGCGGTCGGGGGAGGGCAGAGTCCTGGCTGTGAGAAGGATCCAGCCAACCAGCAGACAGGTCCTCCCCCTGGGAATAGTCACTCAGTCAACATTTATTAAGGACTCTCGAGGTAGCTACCCCAGGAAGGAACTTTAAGTGCTGTGCTCTGAGAAAGGTGAGATCTCAAATGTATTTCCTTTCAGACTTTGCACCCAGACACTTTAGCCAGAGCAACCACCGCAACCCAAAGATCCGGGGGAGCTAAGGAGCCCCCTTCAGCAACAGCCAGGGAAAGAGATGTCCACCCCCCCCCGACCTCCATTAGATTTTCCGAGGGCCCTTCAGGAACAGGGCATTCAGGGGCCAGAGGAGTCAGGGGTGCGAGGCTCAGGCTTCTCTCGGGTGGTGCGCGGAATTCGTGTGCCTGTTGGAGGGCATGATGGCCCTTCCCAGGTGCGTGCGGAGGGGTACGTCTGGGTGGATGTGTGCAGGGCCCTCGACAGTAAGTGAGGCTGGGAAAAGTGGGGCTACCCCAACCCTCGTTTTCGGCTACGTGCGGAAGCCGCGGCTCCCTCCCGGTGGGTGGAAGGGGACCTGTGTGGGGGAGGGGAGCCAGCCACAGCCAGGGTAGGGAGGAGGGGAAACAGGGGAGGGCTGGGATGGAAAGGGGGACCAGGAGGGTGAGCCTGGCAGGTTTCTCAACTCCTCCCCTCCCGCGGGCGAGAGGCGTGGGGAGCGCCTCCCTCCAACCGCTGACCCGACACACCGACTCCTCCCGAAACTCCGGGAACTTACACAGGATGACCGATGTGAAGAGAAGCAACAGTTTCCTCCCTGTTCTCATCTCCGTCCCCATGACGATCAGGGTACCGATACGACACGGCGACTAGAGCCCCGCGGGGTGAGACAGCTTCACCCGCAGCCGCTCGGGGACTAAACTGCAGCCACCGGGTTGAGCTCCGCCCGGCTCCGCCCCCCCCACGACGATTGGCCTGCGCCCCGCCCCTGCGCGTTCCGATTGGTGGAGGGAGCCGCCGCTCCCTTGAGTGACTCACCGTCGCCAGGTGCGACCTCGCCCACTCCTCCCCACTTGGACCTATTGACGCCGTTCCAATCCCGAGCCGCCTCCGATTGGCCCAGGAGACTGTCGCGTAAGGAGACCGGGCCTCACCTTCTGCAGGTGAGGACACCCTGATTGGGCGGCGTTCCTGAAGTAGGGACTTTCTGACTGGCTGGGTCCTGAGTGAGAGCTGGAGGTGGAGGGGAATACCTCGAAGGAGGAGGGAGGCCAAGTAGTCGTACTGCGGGGCCGCGGAGAGCAGCCTGGTTGCGTTTTCTGTGGTTTGTGTGTTTGTTTGGATGTAAACTGCTGGCGGCTACGGAAACCTTGGCCAGTGAAAACCACACATTCATGTGCGAGGGTGCGGGGAAAGGACCGGGAGAGAAGTGGAATGATACCTGGAGACGAGCCTCGAACCATGAACCTCTGTCGGCCCCACTGGCAGCATTAAGCTTTGAGGGGGACTATGCAGAGAGAAGGGAGGGGAAGGAGAGGGGAAGGGAGCCCTCAACCCAAAAGTGGGAAAAGCAGGATTGCATTCTCTCAAGAACTTTCAACACCCAATATGTACACCAAACACACCCAGGTAATACAAACTGACCTACAGACAGATGTTCTGTAAATATCACTGTGAGTGATTGCATTTGTCCTTTACACATGTTCGATGAATCAGCGGAGCCCTGCATTTCAAAATTGTTTCTCTTCTCTCTGTGCCTGATAGTTGGGTGCTAAGCCCCTCTTGCCATAGACTATGTTACTACTCGAACTTTCTGTTAATATTTATATTATTGTGTCGCTTTTAATTGAAACTCAACACTTTCACTATTTCTAGCTTTTATTTTACAATGACTTAATTTTAACTGATCTTGCCTGTTGGAAAACTTCCTGAACATTATTTCATTGCAAGTAAGAAGCCCACACCTTTATGCAAAACGGTAGTATTCTTCGACCTTTTGCATCTCGCACCTTTGCTCCCAGTCCTTGGTCCACTTCTAGTTCCACTCAATTTAAAGCAATGGTTATCAAGCACCTAGTGGGTGTTGTAGGGAAGGAAATACAGATAAATATAAATCACAGCCTCTGACTTCAAATGGCTTACTATCTACTCCCAAGACTGATACGGGAAACAAGACAATATGCTACCAAAAGAAACCTCGTGTTACTAAATCGAAACAAATATTTGGGTGCCCGCCATGTGCAAAATTTCTGTTCTTTACCCTCAAAGGAATGTAACGCCTTGAAGAGAGAGGCAGATACAAGGGAATGGAAGAGCCAGGGGAAGTAACCAATCACGGGGCGGGGGGGGGGGGAGGGGGCGGGCTGTGTCAGAAAACTTCAAGATGGGGGCATTTGAGCAGGTTAGAGGAACTCCAATACTGATAAGGAGTGTTTAGGAGGAAGTCATCTTAGAGGTTATTTGGGTCATCCTCTTGCCCTACATAGGAAGGTCCATACAACCAGAGTTTAAACAGCCTCTGCTTAAACTCTTCTGAAAATTCTCAAGGCAGACCATTCTGCTTTTTGTAGGACTTTTTTTTTTATTAAGGTTTTATCTATTTAATAGAGAGAGAGAGAGAGAGAGAGAGAGCACGGGAGGGGGGAGGGTCAGAGGGAGAAGCAGACTCCCCCTCCCCAGGGGGGAGGGACCTCCCATGTGGGGCCCGATCCCAGGACTCCAGGATCATGACCCGAGCCAAAGGCAGTTGCTTAACGTACAGAGCCACTCAGGCGCCCTTTCTGTACAGCTCTTAACTGTTAAAATATCCTTTCTGGAATCTGCTTCCTGGTAACTTCAGCCTCTGCTCTCTGGAGTTACACAAAATAATCTCATTATTCTTTGCCAATGACAGCCCTTCCTTCAAGTATTTTAATATTCTTATTATGAGCCTTGTAAGTCTTTCCTTCTCCAAGCTAAACATCCTTAAATCCTTCAAAGAGTCTTCATACAGTATGGTTTCACAAGCCTCCCCCACCCCTGCCCCCCTACCCCCATCGCACCCCACCCCCTGTTTGGAGATAACCTCTTATATTTTACTGCCAAGATCTGAACTGAGCCCTGGAGAAACCAACTCTCCATGAGATGGGCAGATCTCAATTCAAATCCATTCCCCCAGTTTCTAGCTAGTCCTTCGCCAGCTCACATCTCTGAAAATTTCTGCCTATAGAAGGTAGTTACGACAGTAATACCTTCTAGCAAAACAAGGATTAAATAATGTAACACACGTAATATGCTTACACAGCACCTGGTCCATTTTAAGCACTGCCATGACAGCAATTTCCATCACTTGTACTTACAGCACAAGAATGCATTCACAAATATAATAGCCATATCACACCCCTGAGTTAGTTATAGTCAACTTGTGGCAAACTAAAACCCACAAGTCTTTATTTTCACTCGGACGACTGTTAAGTCAGGTCTCTCACATCCTATACTTGTACAGTTGTTTCTTAAGTAAAGTACATTTGCTTTTAACCTTATTTGATTTCATATTTTTTGCTTTGAAAATGAAATATTAATGTATAGAAAAGTAGACATAAAAATGTCCATGGTTAAAATTAAATGAAAAAAGTAAATACAAATAGTATGCATCCCAGTTATTTCTATACAAAATATTTGTGTATACAAGTATAAAGCATGAAAATAATTTTGGAGCATGCAAATGATTTGATACTCCAAGTTCCATAAAGTTGCTTACATAAATAGTAAGTTCATAAATCTCATTGTCATTGACATTTGTTTCTTGTAGTCTTTTTAAAATTCTTTTGGTGGGGGGCAACCCAAATGGGACACAAATCTTATAGTCTCTTTTTTTTTTAAGATTTCATTTATTTATTAGAGAGAGAGAGAGAGAGCACCATCAGGGGGACGGGCAGAGGGAGAAGGTAAAGCAGACTCCCCGCTGAGCAGGGAGCCTGAAGTGGGACTCAATCCTAGGATCTTAAGATCCTGACCTGAGCCAAAGGCAGACATTTAACTGACTGAGCCACCCAGGTGCCCCAATTTTCAGACTGGTGAGTTTGCCTGCAAAGTAGAAAATTCTGGAAAGGATTATTAAACATAAATCTTGATTCTGTCATCCAATACGTTAGCATTTGCATCTGAATTTCTGTTATATGCAAGTTTCATAAACATGCTTTCTATAGCATAATCCAATAGGTTAACAAAAATATTGAACAAGGACGGAGTTGAAAACAGAATCCTGAAGTGACCTCTTTCCAAGCCAGCATGGTACACTCCCAACATTCTAGGTATTGATATTCCCAGATGTTCCTGTTGAGAGATGCCACATTTCTGTCATATATTTGTCTGATGGATAGCTTGAATTTTATAAGCAATCCTGTTAGGCATTTTGCTTTGGTCTCTAGGAAAACCAAATTCAAATCTGCAATTCAAGTCCAAAAATTGATATACATTCCTGACTCCGCCCGACTTTATCCTGACTACACTCTGCCATTTTCCGTTAGGCTTGACATATTCTTTTTAAAAATCCTTTATCCTTGGGGCACCTGGGTGGCTCAGTTGGTTAAGCGACTGCCTTCGGCTCAGGTCATGATCCTGGAGTCCCGGGATCGAGTCCCACATCGGGCTCCCTGCTCAGCGGGGGGTCTGCTTCTCCCTCTGACCCTCTTCCCTCTCGTGCTCTCTGTCTCTCATTCTCTCTCTCAAATAAATAAATGAAATCTTAAAAACTAATTCTTTATCCTTTTTGAAATGTAAAGTTTTGTGCACGCACAAACATGCATAGTGACATGCCTCCCTTCAGGAATAAGGACTGACTGCCGCAGTTGTTGGCTTCTTTGGGAGTTCACTGAAGAGAGGCTCCTAGTCCAAAGGCACACCCCTTCCCAGGGTCACCTGTATCTAATAACTAATCCTCGTGTGTCATTCATGGGTCATCTTGAAAGAAGTTTCAATGGAGTAGTGGGGTAGGCAATAAAACCTGCATGGAATAGGCTAAGGAGAGAATGTAGATTAAGGAAGTAAAAAAAAAAAAAGGAAGTAAAGACAGTGACCACAAACAGTTCAAAGGGGTTTTGCTGGGAGGGCAGCAGAGAAAAGGAGCAGCAACCTGGAGGGCAGGTGGAGGAAGTCAGAGTATGTATTTTGTTTGCATGGAAACACTGTATGCTAATAGCAATGACCCAGCAGAGAGAAAAAAACATCCATGCTGTATGAGAAAGAGGGGACAGCTGCAGTACCGAGTTCTTGAGGAGAGAGGAGATGAGATGCTCAAGTTGAGCGTTAAAAGGGAACAGAGCTAACCATCCTCCGCAACAAGAGGAAAATGCATGGTACAGGCGGTTCGTCTGTTCGTGGGGAAGTGACTGCTTTCTGCTCTTAGTGGAGTATAAGGCAAAGTCAGTTGCAAAGAGTGCAGAGGGAAAAGGAAGCTCGGGAGATCTAAAGAGTGGGGAGAGCTTTCTGTACCAATAACACTTCCACAAATATGGTGAGTGTTTCTAGAATCTGCCAGACTTTCTGTGACAGGTGTGGTGAGCACCACCCTACAAAGTGACGCAGTATAAGGGCAAAAGATCTGTAGGCTCAAGGGAAGTGGCAGGATGACAGGAAGCGAAGTGGCCATGGTGGGCAGACGGAGCTCATTTTCCAGTAAAAGGCTATAACAGTACAAAGAAGAGAGCACTGAGGTCTGAATGTGTTGAGCCCAACTGCAGATCTAAGAGAATGCTGGCTGTTAGGAGACGCAAGGGAGGAGATAAGAAGGGCCCAGTGATCCAGTTTTAAGCTTCATATTTTGTTTTATTAGGAAGACAATGAAATCTTGAGGTTGTGTTAAAAAAATAAATACAGGGTGGGGAGAAGTGGAGACAGGAACTGAACATACTTGGAAAGTGTGTATTAGTACTGGTGAGCACTGTTAACTGCCTACTAATATTTGGGGACATAA